TAAAGGATTTTAAAGCAAGTAATAACTGCAGATATTTCTGTAAATGTAAACTAGATTCTGCTTGTCATACTCCAAGCATGAACATTCAAAGAAACGCCAATTTAAAACATCATATACCAAGGGGAAATAAATGTATTGAACATATTTATGGTTCCACAACAAAATATTCCTACATTTTTAAAGAGGAAGACAATATTTACAGCTTCTTGTAATTTATTTTGGACTCACAAACTATTCAATACCAAATTATATATTGGTATTATAAATTGTAGATTATTTAGGCTTAGATTTAATTACTCTAGTTACATACATATCTTTCTGAGCTCAGGAAACATTACCAACAGACAGCTCCATGTCTCTCTCAGATCTATTACTACTCATATATTCAGACAAAATTTCCTCTGAATAACTGCACTGCAAAATTGCCAGTTCAGCACACTGAAATGAATACTACTGTATTACTTTATTTAATAGTGAATAATTACTGTCAGTAAACAATTTAATGTGGACAGATTTTGATTTGCCCTATATGGCTGCCTAAACATATTTCCATTCAGCTGCTTATAGCATTTTCAAAGAGGTCAGTTATAATGCTGTGTCATACTTTCATTTCCTAAGTAAGGGGCGTTACACTGCTTGCCTGATAGGCAGGCAAGAAAGTCAACCAGTTCTTCGTAGAAACAGGGCTGTCAATCATTTGGTGAAAGTGTGACTCAGCACCTCCTTAGTCTGTAAAAGTACTCTGCACATAAGAGATAAACAGGAGGGGGATGTCTTTACAAGTACATCAATTCTCTGGTATGTATATAAACAAAAAAGGCCTTACCACCACACAGGATTTATGTAATAATATTTTTCACTAATTTATTTCAAATCTTCTCCTTGCGTACAAGGAAGAGCATATAAACAAGGTTATTTAACCATTCCTAATTTTTGCCAGGAATTGATCATTGAAGATTTCTTCAACTAAATTAAAGATGTCCAATTTATTAACCAAAAAACTGTACACAATTAGGTAGGAGAGTGATTTTTCTTCCCACAAGAAATGGGTTTATAAATTTGAGTGACAATTACTCACAACTAAAAACATCTTTCAAAAATAAAAAATAAATGGCTACAAATTTTCTACACATGGACACCAGCCAACTTAGAATACTCAGACCTACAGCAAACACTCAGTCTAAAAATGTGAGGGAGAAGACCTTCCTCAGAACATGCAGAAGAACACACATCAACATGAATATAGAACAACTGCAAAAAAAGTCAAGGTAAAAGCTGCTTGCTGTGATTTTATGAAAGCCTCCAGGCCTAAGTTTTGTTCTCCAACAAAGGAGAAAGTATCTATAACATCTTGAACGATCTTCATTGTCTCTGTGACAGGAATCCAAGGGCACCGAAGATTAATTATAGTTTCTCTCAGATTGACTATGACTCTGACTTCAAGATAGACAACAATACAATGTAGAATAAAGGTGTATAAAACCAATTATTACCGTGCAAAACATGGGGATCTCAAATTAACTGATCGGGAAGAAATCTGGGGGAAAAAATTAACAAGTGGAAGAAATTTTTGTAAATGCCTAAGTAAGCTTTGTCACTGCTTATGACAAATATCAAACATGGGTTCAAAAGTGATTAACAACTTCATGTAGATGAGTACCAGAAACTATGAAATACAAACACAAGGATACAACCTTTGGTCCAGTAAATCCCAAATTCTAAACATCAGATTGCTCTAACATTCAACTGCATGGTCCTATCCTCTTTCCTACCTTTGACATGGAGAAATCCCCTATTGGCTGCTGTCAGACACAAAAGATCAGATTTTAGGGGACCTACGGTGATACTGTAAATAACAATTCTTGTGCTTTATGCACTGGAGATAAAAAGCTGAATTTTAAGTTCAGTAGGTAATGGTTGTCTACCACAAAGTAGGATCCAGTCCTCAAGATGTTTAGGAATAGCAGCGATTTTACTAAAACAAGGTTAATGCATACTAAGTTACACACATGAATTTACAGACTAGAGCTCCAGTGGTAATATGTTTTGATTGCTACCTGTTTTCATGGTATTTTTGACAAGAAATACAAAGTGAGGAGCTGATTTTCTTGGTCCACTGGGGCTTTGTTATCAATCAAAATACAGTGCTTGTTGAACTCCTGCCCTAACTGGCCTTTTTCTTTGCCATATCAGTGCATACATAATTATTCTGTCTGGTAAAGCACAGAAACCTCTTCATAACTATACAATTGTTCCAGTTTTGTTCCCTTCTGCAAACATCTTTTGCATAGCAGCATGCCCAGATAACGTCATCTAATTTCTTAAACTTATGCTATTTTTAAGGGAGCCACAAAAATGCAAGTGACTCTCCAAAGCTGTGAAGTATTATTTGGTTGATGAACAATGTCCTCAAAGATCTGCTGACATAATAAGTATAGAGATGCACAGATTGCTGTAATAATGGCAATAACACCTCTGGGAATCCAAATGCATATCTTAAATTATACACTCTGCCACCAGCAAATGGTAAAAGAACAAAAATAGTAGCTCTTATTCCTGTAAGAATCTAAACAAAAATATGTGGAATGGCTTCTTGAAAATGACAAGAGTTTTAGTTAATTAACAAATACCATTTCCAAAGCTTTTCTAGAACTGTACTATACAAAACAAAAACAAACAAAAAAAAACACAAAACCAAAACATCACAACCTTAAAAACTTATGTGAATTTCACATATCAAAAAACCATCAGAGTTAGTTGAGTGGAAAAGATGAATCAAGATTAACAGAGAACACTATTTTTTAAGCTCCTAAAAATGTTACAGAGTTAAAAATATAAACTAAAAACTATTTTTATAGCAGCTGGCAATGTCCATTTAAGGCTGACAATTTCTTTGAGATGATTAGTACTACATATCTCATGCAGCTCTCACTGTTTTGAGTTTATTGCAGTATAACAGCATAATCTGATAGTCTTAAAACTCAGAATCTCTCCCTATTTTTGGCTTAAATCCAAGTTATAATTATAGTAAATGTACTATTTTTTTGAAAGAATACTGCTGCTTATCCTCTTAACAGTGATTTTGTTGTTTTCATATTGCAAAACTGAAACTACGCTAGAATAAACACAGAGGGAAAAAATTAAGGCTTAAACCAAGTTTAATATGTAACTCCAACACACCATCACAAAGCCCAAGAGGCAGGATATGCAATCCTGCATTCCTTATGCACTCGTAATACCTCTTGGCTCCAGTGGAAGTTTTGTTTAAGAAAGCATATAATCAGAACCTGTAATTTCATTAATTGCATGCCACAGGCAGTCCATGTGAGGTAAGAATCATGAACCAAACTGGTTGGAAGGATGGTGGAACCCATTAGCCCCGCCTGCATCTTTATGGACCACTGAATCTACGCAGCAAAACCATGAATCCTTGTTCTTCCCACTCACCCATACTTCCAGCTCTTCCTCATGACAGACCACATCTGTCATGTAGACAGTAATGCAGACGCTTCATTCAGGATACAACACAGCTCTCAGGTCTCTGTAACTGTTCTCCATTACCATCCTTCCCCAGACTCTTGGCAGTACTGAGAATTTGACCTGATGCAGATCTCTGCTCTGTTGGGATTTTTATATTATTCATACTAGGCACAGATAAAATGAATGTTATGTAGTTATTAGTACGGAGTGCTTTGACATATTACATATATCATTAGACGTCCTTTGAGCAATTTAGGAAGTATCATCTAAAAACCCTGTGATTGGACTTGACTTTTACAGTATTACTGTACTGTACACATAACTTTTCCATGCATACCATAAACATAAATGACTCTACGGGGTGTGTGTTACAGATAGTTTTATGGTATCTCTCAAGATTTATTTACATACGTAGAAAGAAATAGCATGGAAAAAACCCTCCCATATTATAAAGGCCTTTTATTTGCTAAAACACAAGCAATAAAAAACAAAAAACCAAAACTAAAACAACAACAACAAAAAACCAACAAAAAAACAAACAAAAAAACCCCAACCAAACAAAAAAAAATCCACAAACAAACAAAAAAACCCCCAAAACAACAACAACAAAAAACCAACAAAAAAACAAACAAAAAAACCCCAACCAAACAAAAAAAAATCCACAAACAAACAAAAAAACCCCCAAAACAACAACAACAAAAAACCAACAAAAAAACAAACAAAAAAACCCCAACCAAACAAAAAAAAATCCACAAACAAACAAAAAAACCCCCAAAACAACAACAACAAAAAAACCATGAGCACTTGCAAGCCAGTTCTTTTTCTAAATATGAAAACAAATAATCAAATTTTAAAAGAAATCATTCACAGGATGAAGAATGACAGGTGATGTTACAGTGAGGTGTGAATCTATAGATAGGTCTCCACTGCAAACTGATATTTAGAAGCACACAGCAGATAGTTTTTCAGCTACCCCCATTACCTCCTCATATAATAAACTGAAAGCTAGTTAATTTCTACCTGTGTCACTGAACACAATTAAATTTTTACAAAACCTAACTAACAACTAACTAACTTACAGTTTCTTTTACAACAGCCTTAAAATGTAAAGCAGGGACGGAATCTCCAGACTAAAAGTAAAAAAGTTCATTCTTAACTATCCTAAATGCTCAGATTTTGTAAGGAATCTTCCATTGTGTAAAGGCACACAAAGGAACAAAATAAAAAGCAAACAAATGGAAGGTATAAAAATTTCCACAGAGGAAAGTGGAAAAAAGAACAAAAGAACACTTTTAAAAAGAGAGAAAGAAAAGCATGACAATGAAAACAAATGAATCGTTGAAACTATGGTGGGAGGAACTGATGAATATTAACTTTTATTATTCGGATTACAAAATACATTTCAAAATTGGATGAAACACATTCTATGTATGTTTTGCCAAGGACATTCTTGGCAATTACAAAGTCAGGAAAATTATAATTCAATCAGTGAGGCATTACTTAAAACCACTTGAAAAAAGCAGATCATTTGAACCAGCAAACAGACTGGGTAAAAATTTAAAGACTCGATATTCTGGAGCAGTGCAGATTGCACTCACATGTTGCAGAGTTCCAATAATGGGGCCATTAGAAATACAGCAGTTCTTCCTGGATGCATTTTACCAATCTTTCGTCTCATAAATGAGCAATAAATAAGCCTCATCATCGTTTTCCATACAAAATGAGGACAGTTCTATTAAAAAAAAAAAAAAAAAAAAAAAAAAAAAAAAAAAAAAAAAAAAAAAAAAAAAACAAGCACTTTTAGAGTAAAACTCTTACTTCGCTAAAANCATCATCGTTTTCCATACAAAATGAGGACAGTTCTATTAAAAAAAAAAAAAAAAAAAAAAAAAAAAAAAAAAAAAAAAAAAAAAAAAAAAAAACAAGCACTTTTAGAGTAAAACTCTTACTTCGCTAAAAAATCTGGTTTAAACATTTTAAGAAGCTGTACTGTCCACAACAACCAGATCATATCTATAAAGATGGTTGCTGTATTTATCAGGCACACGTGGGATACTTTACCGTGCACAGAATCTGTGCGCTTGCCTTGAAATGGATGATACAATCCAAAAACGTTACGAATACGTCATTACGTCTGTTGCCACAGTGGCAAAACCCACAACAACAGGTCACCTTGACCTCTGTCATGTACACTGTTTCACAGAACTGCTGACACCCGAAGAATGAGATTGACTGGAAAAGGCACCAGGCATTCACCATTCCCACTGGAAAATGAGTGCGCCCTGCCTTCCCCGTAGTAGTGCTTATTTATATATCGCTGTGATTGCGCTGTGAAGGCGAGCGATGCAGCCTTTCGATTTAACCCGTGAGGTCGCCGAAGCCTTTGCAAATTGCCCGTTGTGAGTCAGACTTTCAGAGGACCGAAAACGCCGCGGACTGGCACTCCTGGGGCGACTTTACCACCCCTCACCGCCACAGGCGCCACAGGCGCCACAGGCACCCCCAGTCGCGCTCCGCCGCGCCCGCAGACGGGGTAAAGGCGGTGCCCTTCACCGGCAGGGCAGGAGCCGGCTGCAGCCCGGAACGCCCCGAGCCGCGCTCCGAGGTAATTTCAAGCGCCGCGCCCGCGGAAGCAGGTGCGCCGCCGCCGCCCCTCTGCGCCTCGGGGCCGCGCGGGAAGGCGCCGCAGCGCATCCCGCCCGCTCCCGCCCTGCCGGGCTGCGGGGCGCTCGTGACGTACCGCCGGATGGGGGCGGGGGGCGACTGCAGTGATGGAAAATTTTCGGCTCCTGCATCTTCTGCGCGTGCCCTCGCCGTTCCCCGCCCCTTCCCGGCTTCCACTCCCGCCCCCCATCCCGGCGTCGGTGGGGGCGGTCGAGTGCCGCCGCCTCGCGCCGCCCGGCGCTTTTCCGCCCGTTTCCCGCCCGCTTGCCCTGGCGACAGTCGCGGGGCAGAGCCACCATCCTCCCGCCTGTCTCAGTCCTTCGGAGCTTCGTGTCTCCGTCAGAGCCGCGGGCACTGCAGTGGGCCCAGGAGAGGGAGTAGTGGTGATGGATTCGCTGTCCCTCGACGGTGCGAGCAGCTCTCGTGTCTCGGCCGCCGCCATTGCCCCGGGACAGCAGACAGGCAGCCCCGTCTCGCACCCTCCACGAGCTCTCGATGCTTCAGAAGAAGGGAGCGAGGGCGATGACGCAGGGGGTTCAAACGACTCGGTGGCAGGGCATCCTCCACGCTCGAGGCTGGCAGCCCCAGACTGGCCTGAGGGAGCGCTGCTGCCGCCAGGACAGGAGCTGGAGAGGCAGCTTTGCAACCCCCTGTCCCTCTAGAGACAGCAGCCAAGTGGGCCCCAGCAACCTCTGTGAAGCCTCCTTCGGAGCTGTCCTTGCACCATGCGTGTGAGGAGCTGCGGCGGACAGTAAAGCACTGCCGCCCTCTTCCACGGAGGGCCGAGCAGCAAAGCTCTCCAAATCTTCTGGAGTGATTGCCTGAGGAAAAGGAAGCAGGATGTTCTGTTTCCCCCTCTCTTCCCTATAGGGGGTTTATCGTGAATCACATCACTGGGGGGTGTCTGTCATTCTAGTTCACTTCCCGAAGGAAACGTTCGGGGAGTCTGTTGGCTGCCCTCTGGGTCCGGGCTTCCACGTGCGCTGCTGCAGGTGTTAAAAATAGGGAGTGACTGCAGCGAGGAGCTATGATGGGTCAGTGGCACCTCGTCCCCTGCCACGCACCCAGCTACTGGGAGACGCCAGCGCCACAGGTCCGAGGCAGGCGCGGGGTGGGAAGAGGGAGGCAGGTCCTGGGTGAACCAGTAACCACCGGGTGCTGCAGTCACTCTGCGGATGCTGCACTGGGCCGGCAGAAGCGCCTCTCAGACGGGGCGCTCTTGACAAGCACCGCAGGGTCCTGTCTCCGCCGTCTAAACCAGTGCCCAAATGTAAACACTGGAGAGCTGCTCGGCTCGTGTGCCAGCGGCCGTGCTCCCGACCCCCGCCGGGCGCACGCCGGTAAACGGGTGCCAGCCCTCAGTCGGGGACGCCCCCCGCCCCCTATGCCCCCGCAGCCCTTGCCAGGGCAGGGGGTCAGTCGGGCAGGGTGGGGGGCGGCGCAGCAGCGGGTAACAGCCGCGCCCCTGCCATGACACGCCCACATTCCTGCCTGAAGAGCAGCGGCACCCCGAGGGGGCCGTCAGACAGGGAGCGACGGAGGAGGGATATAGATGTGATATTTTCTTTCCTTTTGATACCTCTGGCTTTTTTATGTGATTTTTTTTTCTACCTTTATTTATCCAGGGTCTTGCTTTCGCTGACATTATATAGTTAAGGGTTTGGTTTTTTTCCCTTGCAAGAAGTAGCAGCGAAGACAGGAGGAACTCCTGTTATTCCGAGGCTTCGGGAGAAACCCTCGCTTTCAAGCTCGTGCGTAGAAGGTACGGCAGGGGCTGGCTGTTACCGGGCCGCCAGGAGGAACGGGGCGACTCTTCGGAAGGCTCGTCCTTCGCGCCTTTGTCCGGCGGCAGCGCCCCGGCTTGTCGCCAAGAGCCCGCCGGGCTCCGCCGAGACGCGCCTAAGGACGCGCCGCCGCTGCGTTCCGGAAAGGCGGCAAACCCGCAAAGCGACTGCGGCGCGACGCAGTCCCACGACCGGTTTGCGTTTTTCCATTGAAAAACGCCGGGTCGCGCAGTGTCGCGGGCGGGGTGGAGGGAGGTAAACACAGGGAAGGACAGCCGCGGAGCGGGAGTCTCCGGCAGTCGATGTGACAATCGCCGATCGGTGTTGCATCAGTCTGCTCTCCGCTATCGGAGGGGGGAGGGGGGGAGCGCGGCGTGGCGCTGCCTCGGTGCGGCGCGGGCCGGGCGGTGGCGGCGGCGGCGGTGGCGGTGGCGGCGCGAGACCGCCACGGCGCGGGGCTCACCTTTGTCCGCGCGCCCCCCGCCCCGCGCGCCCCCCGCCCCGCGCGCCTGGTACTTTTCCACTCGGCGGCGGGCGGGGGCCGCGGGGCCACGTGACGGCCGCGCACCCGCTGCGGCACTGACGTCGCCTCCCGCCCCCTCCGCAGGCGCGGCGAGTCCCGCCGGCAAGGACAAAAGAGCGGCCGAGCCCCGACCCCCGCCCCGCCAGCATGAGCAGCGCCGAGATGGGCAAATTCAACATCTCGCCCGACGAGGACAGCAGCAGCTACAGCTCCAACAGCAATGACTTCAGCTACCCCTACCCCACCAAGCCGGCTGCCATGAAGAGGTGAGCGGGCTCCGGGGACACGGCGGTGCCGCGTGTCTGTCGGCAATCCGTACGGAAACACGGGCATCGCTGCGACCGGAGACGGGCGCAACGCTCCGCGCGCCGACACGGTGGCAGGTGGGGTGGTTCTTTCGGGGTTATTCCATCGGGTTTTCCTTTTCCCTTTGAAATGGATTGGAAATGCTGGTCGGGAAGTGAATATGCAAGTTGCCTGTAAGAGTCACTAATGATGCAATGTTGTTTTGCAGCCACTATGCGGATATTGATCCCGAAAACCAAAATTTCTTGCTCGACTCCAACCTTGGAAAGAAGAAATATGAAACTCAGTATGTAAGTACCCAACAATGACGTTCTAAATAAACAAACAAAAACGTACTGCCAAATTTGTTTGTTTTAATTTTGACATGAGTAATAACTTTCTATTAATTATTACCTATCTCCTTTCCTCAGCATCCAGGTACTACTTCCTTCGGAATGTCAGTATTTAATCTGAGCAATGCTATTGTGGGTAGTGGCATCCTTGGTCTTTCTTTTGCCATGGCTAACACTGGAATTGCTCTTTTTGTGTAAGTATATTTTGATTCATCAAACAAACCACCATCTTTCTGGTGTGTAATTCATAATGGAAAAATACTTGGTGTGAGACTGACGCCTAGAAAATATCCATTCATTTTCATAGAATTGCATTTTAGGATTTATGGCTTATATTCGATTTAAGGATTGTTATAAGTTCAGAGGAACCTGCAAAAGTTTAACAGATCCGTTGCAAGTTCTGCAACCCTCAAAAACATTTTTACAGTGAATTTTACTTGACTTAGCTGTAGTTTCTTCGTGAATAAAGAGATAGGCTTCCCCTGAAAGTTCTATTATGCAAGTCCCAGTCAGGGATGTGGTCTCGTTTTTCTCAACTGACATTATTGTGCCTACAGAGTTACAATGTTCTTAACCAGTAAAGAAGTCTGTTTTGTTGCTATGCTTTCACTCAATTCAGGGATATGGTTTCAGTTACACCTATAAAAATTTTTGTCTGCCTGCAAGGGAGGGATGTGGAATAACCAGCATATCCTTATTGGCCTGTCTACACTGGCAAAAGCTTTGAGGTGTAGGACAGAACTACAATAATGTAAATGGAAGCAACATAAGGACACAGTTATGTACAGTGCTTTTAAATGCCTTGGGAAAGTACATTTTTCATGTATTGGAGGCAGTTCAGCTCACACAAGATGCAGTGACTTGACTGCAAATGAGTATCCATGGATATGTTTAAAGGAACATTGTGTTTTTATCCTGGAAATAGATGAATGCGCTGAATGTTCAAGAACATGTAAAAAGCAATATTTAGTTCAAAATTTCCCTGACTCTGCTGCCAGATTTCCAGAAAGTAGGTCAGATTTACTTCCAGATGTTTCACAGTGTATCGGGTGATGCTCAAGTTTCCTGAGGAAACTACCAACGTGTAAAGTTCTGACCTAAAGGATTTTAAGTATATGTTGCTTGTTAATCTTTGACTAAGATTTTCACTTGCTTAGATGATGCTAAACTGAATCAACAATTTTAGCACAAATCTAGAAGAGATACTTCAGCTCTGTATACATCAGTTTCATGCTCTAGAGATGTTATGCAGAACATATGAAAGACAATCAGTGTAATGTACATTAGAATGTCTCTGAGGAGAGGAATTTAAGGTTAGCTATTTGAACAGACATGGGGGTCATTGTCAATTTAGCTATTGGGTGCTGAGGCAATTTAGTTGATTTTTATTTCCAGATCCTGCATTCAGATCTATTTGCATTAGCCCTGTTTCAAAGACAAGCTAGCTTGTTACCTTTCAGAACTTGTAGATCATACAGTTCTGAGGCAGGAAAGCAGTTAATCACAGATGATCCTGAAGATTTATGATGACAGTGAGGGCATTACAGGCATCCCTTAATAACTTGGTTACAGAATCAGATCCAGATGCAGTTGATTAAGGCAGTACGTTCTTCTAAGACTATGGAGGCACTTGTGTAAGTGCTGTGACTTGTCACTTGTGTCAGCACTAAATAAATGAATAGAATGGTCTGGAGGCCAGAAACAGAGTGAGCCTCAAGATGAGTTTGCTGACTGAACTTGTCTATGCTGTAGGCAGCTATTCCAGGTTAGGACTGAGAAGTCCAGGGTCTGTGCTGTTTTAAAGTAGTGTAACCCTGGCACATCTCAGCTGTGCTGTTTCTACCCGATGCCTGAGTCAAATCCTAGTTAATCTTTACCTGTCAGAAACAGAGAGGTTTATTTTCGTGTGCTTGTGTTAGTGTTTAATCGGCACAGTAATGTAGGTTTCCAATACAGATCTGTGAGTCTTCTCAGATCTTTTTGTTTCCAGTTCTTTGTGCTGCATTTACTAACTTTGCCAACGTTAAAAATGACACAAAAGTAAATGTACTCTGGGAAATTAAATTTGCCATTTTAAAGCCATTTTTAATATGCTGAGTCTCAGCTTTTCCGATTAAGCAAAATGCTTGTATTGGTATAAGAAAGACCAGGGTTTTTTTTTTAACGCTTTGTAATTTTCCACTGTGTTCTCCAGCAGCCGTGAAGTCCCCCCTAGCGTGCCACTCCAGGAAGTGCATTTGTTGTGGGAGAGATTTGTTGTTGAGAGATCCGAATTTTAGGTGATGCAAATGTGCTTCTGGAAATAATATGCATTGCCTGTAAAAGCTGTGGGGAAGATAAACAAGCCACTAGCGATTCCCATGTAAGCACATCTGAAGAGTTAACTTTTGAGGAAAGAATTTTTTAAATGACAATAGATGTGTATTTCCATTTGAAAACACAGCTCTCAATGACTCTGAATTTTCAGTCAATTCTTTAATGCTTTTGCAGTTTCATCCTTACATGAAAAAAAGGACATAGCAGAGCTTTAAGCTGAAAAGCTGATTTCTTTTAAGACCAAGAGATAATCTTCACTTGAGCTGTAGTTAGCCTCAACTGTATGTTCGATATGACGCACTGTTGAACAGGGACAGGAAGATGGGAAAATACAGTTTCTTTCAAGGATGTAAACCTTCCTTGCCCCCCCCACCCACACACATCCCCACTGATACTTTAAGTTATTTATTATCTGTATAGCCAAGTTCAATAGCCTGACACTCAGTGATGATTATGCTGCTTTAGACTGAATAGAATCGTTGTTCAAGCCTACATTAGAACTTCTTTGTATGCCTCTGAAATGCAATTTAGTATAAAACCCTTTCTACACACGGCAAAAACTGGGTTTTCAGAACACTTTAAACTGACCTGAGAATCTACATTTTTTCCCATGTAATATTTTAATATGGATAATGTTTATATTTGATACATCTTTATTTAATAGTGTTACAGTAAGTCATTTATGGCTATTACAAATTTGCATGTTTTTGTCTCCCCAGGATACTCCTGCTTTTTGTCTCAATATTTTCCTTGTATTCAGTGCATCTTCTTTTGAAGACTGCAAATGAAGGAGGTATGGCAAATTACTATTTTACAAATACATACTATTTGTTTCTTATGGCATCTTTGTGAAATACACCCTTCCAATGGGATATCGTATTTTCCTTTAGGATCCTTATTGTATGAACAGCTGGGAATGAAGGCTTTTGGTATGGCTGGAAAACTTGCTGCTTCTGGATCAATTACAATGCAGAACATTGGAGGTGAGTGCGAGATCTTAAGATATCTGTACTGTCAATAGTAATTGTTCCCTGCTTATTCTTGGAGACTTATTTGTCACACAACATGTGTTCATTAACTGCTTGTGTTCAAGTGAAGTTATGAAACATGTTATGTGATTCTTGCATCTTGTGGCATATTCTATATTTGTAATGATCTATGATGTTATTCACCTACAGCTATGTCAAGCTACCTCTTCATAGTGAAATATGAGTTACCATTGGTCATCAAGACATTTATGAACATCGAAGAGACCACAGGGTAGGTGTTAGAACTCCTCATCAGAGAAACTCTTAGGAGAAACAAATATGGAGACTGTATATATTTTTATATGAAGACCACGTTCGGTACACCGTAGGGTAGCTTCTTATTCAGACAGAGATACAGTAAGTTTTCCCTTCCCCTGAGTGCTTCACTTCATTTAGATCCAGCCTGACCTGGGAAAAGGGTAGCAAAATACAGGTATTGCATCATATTGCAGAAAGCTGTTCTGTAAAGAACATCAGGTAAGTGTTAATGTATGTACCAGTCAGTACATACACTTGATAAGGAAAGATAAATGTGATTATGGTTGGTTTTTTTTGTTTTGTTTTGGTTTATTTTCTTATTGCATTCAGAATGGTTTGGTCTGGTTAATCTGGTTTTCTAGTATTAACATTGTGGCAAATGATTAATGTAAGACTAAGGTGCAGTTATGCAAAGAATGTCTTAAGGAACAGTTCTCAAAAAGATAGACTAAACATTGGCTTAAACATCAGTTTATATGCCGAAGTCTAGAGTGGTAGATGCCTTACTATCTAGTCGTGGAGACACCTTTACTCCAGAGTGGCTTTCGTGCTTGACTTTAAAAAGAGGATTCATTTTGTCTAGCTATATTTTAAGTTCATCATTACAATAGTCTTAGTACAATTAGTGGAGAAGGATGATCCTCTGTAGTGATCAGTTCGGTGCATCTGACTTAGACACTTCTTGCGCACCTCCAACGAACAGTTGATCGTATCACTCTGTATTGAGAGGGTGTGTAAAACAAGATGCCTGAGTTCAGATGGATAGAGTTAAGTGCTATAAATCTCACTCTTCAGAGTTGTACTTCTGTGCCTTGTCCTGAAGTGTCCCAGTCTTGAGAGGGCTGAGCAGCTCAAGACTCCAACTTACACCTAAGCCTGAGTTCAGAAGGTAGGCATTTTTCTGCCATGTTCCCCAAGGGGTTCAAGCCATTTGGTGATGTGCATACAGCTTGCTGATAGATACTGTCACAATAACAGTGCTAACCATATTTTTTCCTTTTTTTTTTTTTTTTAATTAATGTACTCGAATACTGCACCTACCCTATTTACTTAGTAGTGTTATGTTTGCAAATTCTTTGCTGGGAAGGTTAATTTCTTTCCTTTGGCTGAATTCAAGTCCATATTTTTTGATTCTTAAGAGAGCCCCTGGAGTAGCCAGTATTTAGAAAGGGGCTCGGAGGCAAATATTTTAAACTGTCCCATCTTCAGTAAAAAATTCAAAACTGGTTGCGATTCAAGAGGGAAAGTTAAAATCTATGAATCTCACTGGATACAGCTGCAGCTCTGCAAATCTGGCAGGGGAAATTAAGAAATCGAGATCTGTATCTTAAATGTTTTCTTGTTGGCTGGCACTAGGTAGCTGTACAGTGATTTAAAGTAAGTATTATCTCAGTGCTCTGGCAATCGTGAACCCCACTTAACTGACTCTCTCCATGCACTGCTTAGGGGAGTCTGGGTGGCTACCATTGGCATGGATTCCACTCTGGCAGCCTGGGGCCTAAAATGTAAGCACTTACCTGTTTAAGTAAGCACTTGCCTGTTTAAGTGTCCCAAAATAATGCTTACTGTAGAAGAACTTCTGGAATTTTGAGACAATATTACAAATACTAGCTCCACTATTAAAATTTGTTTAGCAACCTCTAAAGTACTTGGCTATATTTTAAAACTGCACAATCCCATTCTTTACTCTTCAGGACGGAAAAACTTTGAAGTCCTTGATCTGAAAGTCCTGGTGGCCTCTCTATGGTATGCACAATAGCAGTGCATGTTCTTGTGATTGTACCAACTGCAAGGAGTTTCTTCGTCATGATTTCTTTTAAATTTGCTGCAAGTCTACTGTATTAAAAAAAAAACAACTAAAGGTGTATGGTGTTAATATCCTGTACATCTGAAGTTTCTGAAATGCTCCTTTTTTACATCTAGTTATCCCAGGTAAAACTGAGGAAAAGAGATGACAACATCATTTTTGCAGTTACTGTGTAAATCCAGAGCAAGTCTGTTAATTATTCCATATTTCCATTACCATATAAAAGGCTATAATTCAGCAAGTGAGTTTGAATATACAAATTTCAAATTAAATTATGTTTACCTAAGTAGTATACAGTCCATTTTAAAATAAATACTGTTAAATTATATCATAATAGGATGTAAAGTATTAATACTTGGGAATAAATGTGTAATGTAGTGTTACTTTAACTGCTTAAAGCATATAGGATGGTCCTGTAGGACTTTGTTTTTATGTATTTCAAAAAAGATGTTAATCTTCCAATGCTCATAAATGTTTTGTGAAAAAATAGCTGCTGCTTCTTACAGAAAAAATGGCAAAAATGTTCTGAAGGAAAAAGCTTCTGAAGTTCTTACCATGTTTTCCCTACTGAAAGGGACCAAATGTGCCTCCAAGAGACTCGCAGTGCTTGTTGGAATTTTCTCAGCTAGTGGGCTTGAGCTACTGCCTTACCTTCAGCCCTCACGTTTTTTTCTTTAACTCCCACAGGGCATCCAACAGAATTTTATTTCCATTAAAAATGGAAACCCTGATGGGGCCCTACAATATTCTAACACATCTGGAGAGTTGAGAACCAGCACTTAAGAAAACTTACCTTTTTTCCGTGATTGATCCCAGTTGACTTTTTTCTAACCAGTCATTTACTTTTCTGTCTTCTGACTTCCAGATGTTATTATTTTTATAAAAGGACACTAAAGGAAAGGCACAATGCAGGTTTGGGGTGAGATAAGAAACTATTGTAGGGTGTTAGGTCCATATATAGGAAATTAAATGCTGTCATTTGTGGCATCAGGTAGTGCATTATTTTAAGGAGCCATATGTCATAGAAGATAAGAGGGAAGACTAAACTGATTGTAAGCATTTAAGTATTTAAAAATTATAAATACCACCTTCTTTTCTACAGAGAATGGTATCTCAATGGTGACTATTTAGTGCTGCTGGTGTCTGTCATCCTCATTCTTCCCCTGTCCCTACTGAAAAATCTAGGTAAGTAGTAGAGAGCAATCAAAATAAAAACCCATTGGAAATGCTGTGAGGAAATGTGTTGATGTGATGTTTGAGTTTTGAAATGTTATGTGAATTAACAACTGTCCCCAAACTTGGGACTAATTAGCATTTAGGTAATTGCTGTCAGTCTCCTTGAAGAAATGGATAAAAGAATCAAGACAAGTATACTAAATTACAGATGTTTTTATGGAAAATGAAAGGACAGCAGATAGGATGGCTTTAGAACAAAGCTAAACAGTAACTTTCTGTTTCTGTTCTAATCCCAAAGTTTGACCTATTTTGGTCAATAATGCAATATTGTTACCAGCTATCCTGTAACAGCCTTCAAAGAATAGGGCTGCTAACCCTGGGCAGTATCTTCTAATTTTAGGTTCCAACGAGTAACAGAATATTTTTATTACCAGATGCTTTATCCGAAATGGCTGTAATTCAGTGATATATGCGAATAAATCAGTTAACAGGCTGTTAATTCAGAGAGTCTTGTAGTGGAACTTCAATAAACTTAGAGTCTCAATGTGAATTACTCTCTCAAATGACTATTTTCTAGAAGTTAAGTAAATCAGTAAAAACAGAAGGAAAAAGGCTATTTGATAAAAAAGTTATTTGATAGTGCATGCTGTTCAGATTAATTCTGTATCATTATTAGTATGCAATAAACAATTCATATAGTTGTTGCTGTGGGGTTTTTTAGTTTGCTTCTTTTTCTTGTAAGTTACAAAGTTTACCGTTACAGACTCACTGTATGTACAGACCCTAATATGTCTTTCAGAACCTTTAGATCTGGGTTGGGATTAACAGAAAGTCAATGAATAATTAATTTGTTCTTTGTAATGCTAAGGAAATGACAATCTAAAGAGAACACTTGTCAGAATATATTTTGTCATAATGTTTTGACTTGAATGGTGTTTCTGTTTATTGTATCTTACTTTTTTTTTTATCTTTCTCAATCACAGGGTATTTGGGCTACACCAGTGGCTTTTCCTTACTTTGCATGGTCTTCTTCCTGATTGTTGTAAGTATAATCTTGTGAACTTCCGGTGCTTGTAAAACTGCATTTCAAAGTGAAATTAAGTACAGTTTCTAAAAATTTTTACATCTTGCATTAGTCAAAGAAATAAACGCATGGCTTTATTTCTAGGTAATTTGGAAGATGTTTCAGATTCCTTGTCCTATGGACAGTATCATCATGAACGTGACATTATTAAATACAACAGTGGCACCTTTGGTAGATGAAAATATAACAAGTGATGATATGTGCAAGCCAAAATATTTCATCTTCAATTCACAGGTAACTGAAAATCAGATGCTCCGTTGAAAATAACTGAGATTAAGTATGTGGCAGATAAATTAGGTCATTTTTCCTTCAAGCAGTTGCCCAGTTTTAAAATTGGAATGTGTTAAGATTTTCTGTTCTAGTAAGCTTGGGCACTGTTTATCTCATGCAGACTGGGTATTTCCACATGCCAAATACCCAGAAATTAGAGGAGTTTGAGGTTCCTGTTTGAGTGGCAAAAAACACATCTTTTACTCTTCAGCACAGCATTTCCCAAGCTTCCTCAAGGAAGTTAGTGAAGTATTTTAAAAAGTAGATCGCAGAAGATTAAAAAAATTTTAGAAGTTTTCAAATAAAATGCTTGACTTGTTCTCAGTACCAAATTCTTGACTTATGAATGCTCCCAATACAGTGGTGAATCTCCACACGTGAAATACTCAATGCCAAGTTAAAGATATAATGGCTTAAGCCTGTAAGTTGCTGAACATGATTTTGAATGCAAATACATTCAGCTCAGCAGGGACTTCAGTGACATTTGAGACTATTTGGTAGCTCAGGGTCTGGATTTAAGAAAATACGAACTTGTTTTAGCTTTTTCCGAAGTCCCAGTTGTGAAGAATAGCTGATCTTTATCACCAAAGAAGGCCAAAACTGAAAAGTCTCCTGATGATTTTGTAAATTTTTAATGTCTGTTGAGATACTTAAGAAACATACCTTTTTTTTTTCAGACTGTTTATGCTGTCCCAATCCTAACATTTTCTTTTGTCTGCCATCCTGCAATTCTTCCTATTTATGAAGAACTGAAAGGGTAAGTGTTAGATACATATCTGTAATTTCACTAAACAAACAAATACAGTATGAAACACTGTGTTCTCACTGCTAACACTGTTCCTTTTTCTTACAGCCGAAGCCGTAAAAGAATGATGAATGTGTCCTATGTATCTTTTTTTGCCATGTTCCTCATGTATTTATTGGCTGCTCTCTTTGGATATTTGACATTTTATGGTGAATATTGCCTGTCTACTTTCTTTAAAATTATTTATGTTCTGTAAACTCACAGTATTATTTTAAAAATCGAACAAGCATGCATTTATTATGCATTCTAAATATACACTGTTAGTTGGGCTTTTTTTTAGTACTTCTGTAAGTGCACGCCCTAAAGGAGATCAGTAATAGAATTAGGCCCAAGACATAGGATTAAAATTGGATTAAAACAGATTCTGTGCCTCCAAGTCATCTCTGTATAAAATGGATACATACTTACAGGGGCTCTTGAGGCTTTCAATTCATACTGATGATGTAACTGTAAAATCTGCATGGAATCTAGAGCAGATGCACATGTTTAAGAAGTTTGTCAACTAAATCAAATTAAAGTACCGTTTTCTTTACAGGGAAAGTCGAACCAGAGCTGCTTCACACCTACTCTGCTTATCTAGGTGCTGATGTTCTCCTTCTTATTGTGCGTCTTGCTGTACTTATGGCTGTAACCCTTACTGTACCTGTAGTTATTTTCCCAGTAAGTAATTTTTTTTAACACCTGTACTGCTGTAATCATTTACTGATTTGGCCACTCCTGTTTATTAATTGAAAAACAGAAGAGTTTTTTTCTTAACTGAAAAAGGAAACTTATTCTGATAAATTTGATGAATTATAGCTATACTGATAATTCAATAAATATATAACATTTACTAAGCAGTAGATACAAACATATTCAGCTATATTGTTTTCCTGGTATGGTTGTATTCGGGAAATGAAACAGATTGCCCCTCTATAAGAATGCTTACACTGTTGTATTATCAGCCTACAAAAGCCAGCATGTTTTTGTACATATATTGTGGACACGATCTGGCCATTTATGTGTATATTGTTGAGCAGCATCCCTAGATGTTACAAAATTTCCTGAAGTTTATTTTTGTTCAAGCCTGATACTTTTCCTTTGTTTTTTCATCCATATTACTTTCATCTTTCACTTTCTATTAAAATCTGAAGCATTCAGGAAAATGATGTTCAGAAGGAAGGCCTAATTCAGGTGACAAATCACTGTCTTCCAAAATGAAGTCTAAACTGTTCTGTTTTTTTTTTCCCTGCCTTCCAAAGATCCGCAGTTCCATTACCCAGCTGCTGTGGGCAGGGAAGGAGTTCAGTTGGTGGCGTCACTGTTCCATTACCGTTGCTCTTCTGGCATTTACCAACGTGCTTGTTATCTTTGTTCCTACTATTCGAGACATCTTTGGATTCATTGGTAAGCATTTTCTTGTCAGATCAAGCAGTTTTTCACATTTCAGAAAAAGCAGTTCCAGTCTAATTAGAGTATGTTTACCTGTTTATGAATATTTATTTCCATGGTTTTTCTCTAAGGTGCTTCTGCGGCTGCCATGCTGATCTTTATACTTCCTTCTGCCTTCTATATCAAATTAGTGAAGAAGGAACCAATGAAGTCCGTGCAAAAGATTGGGGTATGTATAGACAAATATGTAACTACACTTTCTTACTAATTCAAAGCAAAAATTTAATTGTCCTCTTCAGGATGTATGAATTTTGAAGTCCTAGTGAAGGCAGTCAGTGAATTGGCGTTTTGTTACCTTGCACCGTTGCAAGGAGCTGCATTGGAACTCAAAACAATGGAACTGGCTATCACAAGACTCAGTTCACTTCAGTGACTTCTCTCAAGTGACTTCTCTGGCCCCCAGTCTCAACAGTAGCTGGGTCATTCTGTTGCTGCTAAGAACCAGATTTCAACAGAATACTCTAAGAGCTATATTTAAAAAGCCTTAACATTCTTCAAATACTCTTTAAGACTTACTTACATAATTTTCCCCTAAAAGCTCGTCTCTGCCAATTGTTTGGGTTACTTTGATTGTTCTTGTTGCTCTTACTAATCAGACATACTGACTCATAATACAATCAGACATACTGAAACAGAGTCAAGTTAGCACGATGGCATAGCCTAACTGGTATCAGCAGCCACATTCACTTCCCTTAGTTGAGGGTGAGGTATGCTATACTGAAAATAAATGTACTTTTGATTGGAGAAAGGACTCCAAATATGAGAAAAATACTTAGCTCCTTGTCATTGACTTGATCTCGTCTCTTTTACTTTGTCCTCTACGAGCAATGGCATTTGTGCTATGCATTGGTGTGAATTTATAGGTGTATGTTGTGGTTTACCAGCAGTGTCATAACAGAATCTAAAATACATATTTTATGTTTTCTTTTCCAGGCTTCATTCTTCTTTCTGAGTGGTATACTTGTGATGACTGGGTGTATGACACTGATTATTCTAGACTGGACCCAGAATGTTACATCTGATGGCCATTAACTGCCCTGGTTTAATCTCTATAATACTCCACTTCAAATGCCAGTGTTCACTCAGATACCTACTGAGAATGAAAATGAGCTATTCAGCTTCCTTTAAAAGGCAGATTCTTTGCTGATGGTTCTTCTGATTGTAGAATATTGAACTCTGTCTTTAAGAAACTATTCTACATGATGGGAAGTGGATATTAACATCAAACCACGTGAGTGTCTGGCTGAAGGAAGTGACAACTTTATTCCATTCCAGAGAATGGACAGAACTCTCTGTAGACTTTTATCAAGCCATGTTTGGCTTTCGTCATTGTTACTTGGATATTTTGTTATTTTACTTGAATGTGCCTAATGGAACCATTTGATGTGAGAAAGAACTCTTTAATTTACATCAAAGTGTTTAAATAACCAATGAGAGAGCGAGAGAAAGAGAGAAACGCTATTATTTTTTGTACCAAAAATTCTTATGGACCTCAAAAGCACTATTTTGACTTTGAGAAACATTTTTCTAAAAAGAATGAAAAAATAACATAGAAGAGCTCAGAAGAATATTTAATTAGTGTCCTAAATTAAACTTAGTTTGACTTTCTTGATCTCTTCACTCATGTCACCAGTGACAAGACCCAAGGAAAGGGCATGAAGATGAGTCAGGGTAGGTTTAGGTTGGGTATTGGGAGAAGTGTTTATTTTACCCAGAGGGTGGTTGGAACAGGCTACCCGGGAAAGTGATTACAGCACCAGCCTGAGAGAGTTAAAGAAGCGTTTGGACAGCACTCTCAGGCACTCTCAGATTCTTGGGGTGCCCTGTGCATAGCCGGGAGTTGGACATGGTGATTCTGATGGGTCCTTTCCCACTCAACATACTTTATGATTCTGTAAAGACATAATTAGAAGAAATTTTATTTTTAAAATGCTTCTAATGACCAAAACAGAAAATAAGCCAATTCAGGTAAAAATTCTCAGACACTAAATTCTTCCCATGAAGTTCCCATAGAGAAAATAATCCTGAAAATCATTTCAGGCTTACATAAGTAGCTACTCAAAAATGGTGTGGAAATGCAAAATTTCAAACTTTAAAAGAACCCACTCTTTAGAAAAGGGTACATTTGAGAAAAGCATAGGTAATCTACAAGAAGGCATTGACAATTGTAAAATTGTAAAGAAGGCATTGACATTTCCCTTCTTGAGGTACTCAGTAGTGCAATTGAGTAAAACAGGGTTTGGGGTTTTTGCTTTATGGGTTGTTTTTTTTTTCCTGTTGTAGATAGAAACTGAATGGCACTGGAGCATATGATGCCATTAATACAAAACTCCCTCCTCAAATTCCCTTTATTAATAAGGTCCACTGTTAGTTGTAACAACATTTTTTGGGATTTTTTCTATCCAATCTGTCTTGAAACACTAGGAAAACAAAAAAGTCCTTATGTAGTCTTCTAGTTGTATAATATTCAAAAACTGTACAGTATTTCTCAAATTCCTCATCTGTTATTGGATTTTGAATTACTTGACTATTCTGTTTCTGAATCAAATCCACAAAATAACTGCACCAATATTTCATGCTTGGTACAAACTCTCTTTGCATATGCAACTGGGATTCCTCTTCAGATTTATACTGTATAGTAGTATTGAAGATAACCTCATAGGCTGGATAGTCATCTCATACTTGTTTGCTTCAGTAATAGATAAGATTCTAACGAGCCCTAGCTGATGAAACAGGTGCTGTATGGTTGTCATGAGCTATTTTGTTTCTAGTGCATGTTTGCTCTTTCATTCTTGTCCCAGATTGAAGAGAGGTAACATTTGTATAACAGTGTACTTGGCTTATAAGAGGTTCTCAAACACAGCAATATGGGGTACAAAAGCCTAGATAGAGATTATTAATGAAATAGTCATGGCAATGTGGTCAACTGTCTTCATCTGACACGATGTTTTAAAAATCTATTTATGAAGTCCCACTCAGTCATCATGTCAGAGAGACCAAGTAAAGGCCTGTAATCCATTGATTAAACAGTGCTTGAGACTTTTTTGCTCTTGTAGAATTAATCAGAAAGAAATCTAAACAATAGTCACCATTTGGCAGATAATGTCAAGCTCTGCCCAGCCATTTAAAATCTATGGAAAAACAACTGCAGGTATTTTGTATTGATACTTCTGCATGACTGTAAGTACTGGTCACTAAGACTATAGTGTAAAACTGTAATGACAAGTTAGATTCCTCGTGTGTTCTTTGTATTATTAATTCGGTGGTACTCAACTGGCAATTAATGATCCTGGAGTCAGCACTGACTAATGCTCCGTAGGTACTTCTCTGCCTCAGGTACTGTACATCCATGGCTAACTATCCCATGTTACCTGATCTCCACAGAAGTGCTGAGCACATGCCTCAGTACTTTGGCAGCTTTTCTTCTTCCTCCACAAATGTGCAAAGGTGGAAGAGAATTAAAATGTTGTCTACTTTTGAGCAATTTGTAGCACATAAGGGATGAAGTGCTTCCCTTTTAAAAGAGGTAAGGAAGAAAAATATCCTCCTTTCTCACAGCAACCATAGAAGAGGAAGGAGTTGTGAGAAGTTACTACAAAGTCCTTCTTGGCAACCAGAAGGGAACATTTTTGTGATGACACCTCATAGTGTATTGTACATGTCACTAATTCTCTGAATGTAGCAATTTCCAGATTATACATTATGTGTTATATAATTTGATGACTGACTCTCCACCTGCAACAGTTGAGTTCCACTTGGCTGGGTCGATTTCCAACGTGTGATTTTTTTTTTTTTTTTTTTAATTAATATTTTTTTCCAAACCTGTCTGTTTAAAGTTACCTGCATTGCAAACCATCTAGAAGAGCAGCTTCAGTATTAAACCACTGTTATGTCACCTCAGTTAGACATTACTGTCTTCCATGATATTTCAGTCATAAATGTAACATGTTATTTATAAACCATTAATCCATTAAAACTAAAACTATTTTTCAATATTTATGATAGTCTGTGTACATAAATTGTATGTGTGTATATACTGTAAGTATAATGTATATAATGTAGGTTTGAAGTCCAGGATTTATGTATATATTCCTCTCTCATTATTGATTGTTACATCATTTCAAGGAGTTGTCTGTGTTGTGCATCTGTGTAACAGCTGTCAAAGGAAAGAGCCTTTTTCAACAAAGTATAATGCTTACGGAGATCAAAGTGTATTACACCGAAGGTGTGTAAGAAAACACTAGGATTGTATTTATTACAAATGTATATGTTGCAATAAACACAGGAATCACTTGGGTCCATAGAAAGCATTGTTCAGTTTCATGTGTACTTTCTGTCCAAAATTTCCCATGGTTGTTAGGATTTCCTGAATGCAGCAAGCTAACCACCTCTGCGCTCTAACGCTCCTTAGGCCGCCAGCTCCGGGCGTCCCGCGGTACAGCCGTGTACATATGTAAATACCCGCCCTATTGGCAGAGGCCACAGCCTAGCTAGGGTTGCTGGCTAGACTGGTGGCCAGCAACACAGTTTCAATGAAACATTGTATGTTTGTTTTAACTGAAATAAATAAATGGATAATCCTAAGAAGCAAGGGTGTGATGTTTTTCTTGCAGGAGGCATTGGGAGGATTTCCTTTGGAGATGATGGTAAAAGTGTACCTTTAATTTCATGCATATTTAATTTACTGAGCACTTTTCAGGAAAGGGGAGGGAGAGTGGGGAATGGCATACAACTACATCCATGACTTATGACACTATAAGGGTAAAGAGAGCAAGTCTGGGCCTGAGAGATCAGGTTCTACAAGGAACCTGCATTAAGTAATTTCTTTTGTGGAAAAGGCATAGCTGGAGACAAGACCCAGTATGTTAGATCTTGTATAAGTGTAATAAGTGAGTGAGTCTTGCTAAAATCCTATGCTACTTTGCTTCCTTTGAGTCTCCAGGAGAAGAATAACTCCTTATGTAAAAAATTGCAAAACTGGTATGCCTAGTTTGCTTCCATTTTGGAAACTGGGTACAAACTAAGTGTAGCATATGCATTCTTGATTCCCCATAAAACTGTATCACATCATATGAATGTCTGTCCCAAATATTCAGAATTGGTTGAGAGACGCTGGAGTTGCAACTCAGTGTGTCCTGTGTACAGCAAAACACTATACAAAAGGAATACTTTAGAAGGATAGTTGAATGCCCTGAAATCAGGAAATCCTCAATTAAGGTTGCATTAATTATAAGATTGCATAGTATTTTTTTTTCCTGGAATCCTCGCTTAGTCACTGTTCATTATTCTATTTTTTAAGATGTTTTCTGTGTGTTCACAGTGTTTATGGGTTTGCTGAAAATCCAAAGCCCATTCTGATGAGAGATGAATGCCTTCATTCCTTTCTAGTTCTCATTTTAGTGTCATGTTTGTGAAACATTAATTACTCATTTTCACAATGTTGCAGGCCTTTAAGAAGGTGTTAATCATAATACAGCTCTGGGGACTTGGAGCGTGGAGAGGAAGCACTGTGGCACAGCCATGTATTTGAGTTCACAGTTTAATGCCCTCCGCTTGCTTACTTTGTATTTCAGCATTTGCTTACATGCACCTGAAGCATAACTTCAAACAGGTTTTACATGATGATCATTCTTGGAACAAAAACTCTAAGCACCAAACTAGCCATTTGGAAAGGGTGATCATATCTGGAAGGGCTCCATTCTCATAAGGTGTCTGCTGTCACAGGAACTTCATAGCAGTGCAGAAACCCTTCCCCTAGAATGCTTGACAAGCTGAACAATTAAGTTCGCCTTTACAATCAGGCAATTCCATCAACTTAAATAACATTTCAGTCTTTTCTACATCTTATTTCTCACAAGAATGGGAAGATTGCTCATCTTATGAGAAGAATGAGACCGTGCAATGATTTTTTAAAAAGGAACTGAAATTACATTGGGATGGTGTCTAAAATCCCATGCTTTGAGTCTCTCTACCTGCCACAAAGTCTTTGCTCCAAAAGAGGGCTAAATTGTCACTTCAAGTTTATTCATAATGCTGAGCTTTGTGAATGTCTTGAGGTCTGTCCAGGAGAGATGGCACCTATACTTTCTTCTTGTTCCCCTGAAATTTGCTTCTTTCTTCCACCCTGTCCTGCCCCAAGGTCATGCCTAGCCATCTCACATCGCAAGTGTTCACACAGCAGCTGGATTGCATCAGGTCATGTCCTCATGTCCCCCTGTGACTTAGTTCATATCCCTGATTGCAGGGCATCACAGTTCCCATTCAGTCTGTGTGCCCAGGTATCCTATTTGGAGACACAGAACAGTGTGGCCACTGTATTCCCAAATTTCAGCTGCAGAAGAACCCAAGATGCTATGAGGCAGCCTCCATTCCTTCAAGGAATGTGGACCTGCCATCCCATCTCCAGTGTAGATGTGCCCAGCAGCAGCTTCCTTGGCCTGTATACTTCCAGTTTCTTAAGCATGACAGTCCAGACCTTACCTGCTTTCACATGCATTTCCTTCTGTCTTCTTGCACAGCTCCTTTTGGCTGTCATAAGGTGACTCTCTCTCAACTCTGCCACTCTTGCTTTCACCTTCCTCCCAGTTTGCCAGCTCCCCTGGAATATCACCTCTTGAAGTTCCTCTTGCAAGCCACCTTCCTTCATCCCACTACCTTTCTGACTATATGCCTGCCTCAGCCTAGCACCAACATTTTCTTTACCTAGCTAGAATTATATTCCTTTGATTTTTCTACTCTCTGCCCACTTGGTCTCCTTCTGGCCATCACTGTAATGATAAGCCTTATTTTCTTGTTCTCTGGCCGCCCCTCTTGCTCTTCATCAGCCCAGAGAAGGCCACTTCCACACTCCATTCAGGCAGCCCTTGCCTCTCCAGCCTTTGGCTGAGCACGAAGCCCTGCTGTACAGGATGGCAGGGGCAACTTTTCCAGGAAATATGATGTATTATTTTACTACAGGAAAAGATACTCTTTTCCCTGATTTTATTCTCAAATGGGCTAAATCATTTAGTCTGATTGTATTTCCACAGAGATGAACAAAAGAACCGTCCTGCTGCAGTTAGTCATAACAGCAAATGTCAGGAGAATCATCTGAAGCTAGGTACCATTTGAAAGAACAGAAACATATCTAATAAGAGAACAGTAAGGTAATCCCAGTAACAGGTGGCATAGCCAGCCATGCTTGAAAATATGTTTTAAATTAGAAATTAGTGCTAATTTTTACTTTCATTAATATTTACATATTGAAAAGGAAAAAACAAAAGGTTTTCCAATTGCAGATCATAAATTGATAGGTGATATATGACTATATAACTAGCTTTTTCATTATCTTTAATAGTCTTCTTCACATCATCTCCAAACAGCTCAGATTGCAGCAAAATTAAGTGGAAACAAAGTAAGGTGCTCTGGGTGTTCTCAAATGGCAGGAGTTACTGGGCTGGGGCTAACATGCTCAATCAGACATCTACTTTTTGTTAATATCAGTTTACTTTTTTGTAAATATCTGTTCCTGAACTGCCGATACTGTTCCTTCCTGCTCACTGCAGTGGGATGATTCAATGCACTGGCCAAGTGCACCTTTGGGGCTGGAGCCCAAGTCACTGCACAGAACAAACAGACAGACAGACCGGTCTGATGAGAGGTTGCATGAACCAACCTCTGGGCACCTCACCCTGCCTGTGGTGGTGTCACCTGGAGGCCCCACTCAAACCCCACTCAAACTCAAACTCAAACTCAAATGAGGACTTGGGAAATGACTAAAACTGGCAGGAGTTTCGGCTATGGGCAAGGCATAGGGAGCATGCCCCAGCACCATGGCTGAGGAAAACACTGAGGAAAATGCTAAGATAGGGATCCAAAAGACCTTAGCAGAGCCCCAGCATTGTGGAAATGTGAAGAGCAGCCACAGAGAACATGAGCAGTTTCCCTCTTTGTCCATCAGAAAACAGTGGCAACCAAGAGACCTTCAGAAGATTGATTTGAAAATAGCTGCCCCTAAAATGTGTGCATTTGTGCTTGATTTTTTTACATGACTGGGGAGGCATCCCCTATGAAACTGTTGCTCTGTGAGGATTACTGGGCTTAAATGAAAATTACATATGAGAGATGCATTTTTCTGGGAAATAAGTGAGGAAGTTCATAAGAACACAGGAAACTGAGTTGTCATAAGAAGCTGCTGAAATTACCAGGGGCCAGCACTGGGTGCAGGTATTTCTTGCCAAGGAGCAGTCCCAGGAGTAGCAAGGCTGCTGCATCCTCCAGCCTGCCTGCAGAAATCAAGCCAAAATATCTTGAGAACAGAAAATTATGAAATCTGCTCTAACACTGATTGACCACCCATGGAGACTGTCCATAGCCTGCTGCCATCACCCAGCTCAGAGGGGCTGCATGTTTTCTGCTTGTGCCAGATTTTGGCACTTGCTTTCTTCCCAAAGATCAGATCCCAAAGGTCTCTCTCTCGCCTTACTGCAAAGATTATGTTTCCAGGCACAAACAAGGCTTACATTCTTCTAAACAGATTATTAAAACCATGGGTGTCTCAGGAAATATTTTGAAGCAAATGAGTCCTGCTTTATGTAATGATTATAGTCTGTCTGATTGACACACTGGGGAACTAAGAACTGAGGTCCCTTAGGGCAATTTCAATCAATTTGCACATACGTGGAAAGACAGTAAAAGGTCAAATGGGGAAGTGAATTCAACAGTTTCCTCTTCCAGTAAACTGGACAAGAGCCAATACTGATCTCCACACCGACATTGTTTTTCTCACTTCCAGAAACATTCGTAATTCTCAAATTCCTCTCACACATTGTACTATGGAAGCCTGTACTCACTCTGACAGCCACTGCAAGCTGTCTTTTAATCTTCATTTCCTCCATGACAGCATTCATTTCACATATGCTGTATTTCACATCCTTGCTCCTTCAGATCTTATACGGTTAATGTGAACACTGAATTGATTGTGAGACCTAAGTGCAGCAGCCTTTTTTTCCCCCAACGCCCAGCCCTAAGTGCTGCAGTGAGTTCCTACAAACTATTAAAGAAAATACAGGCCATGTCACCATCCGGGTCACACTGTATTTCAAAACCAAGTTTGTAATTTAACATAAAACAAATGTTTTTGTTTTCTTGCTGCCACAGATTTCCACTCAGTGTGGTAGGTCAAATGCAGCGCTTCATGACTCCTGCCAGTTAACAGAGTCAGTTTCCATCTTGTAGTTAAGTTTCTCAACACATTTAAACAATCAGTATCTTGGATCAACACACTGCTTATCTCCAAGTCCCAGTAGAGAAGTCCTATGACAGTTATTATGTCTGAGCATGGCTAAGTACTAGAATACCCAGCTGTCCTCCTCTGCAAATTTTAGTTTAGCAGGGAACATCAGCCTTCATCTTCTGCATTTTCTAGCAGCAGCTTCACCAAAACTAAACCTGTGAAGTATTTCCTTTCTTACTTGAATATGTGTAAGTGTTGGAAAGAATCAGACACAATCTTTGTCATGCAGAATCATTAAAGAAACATAAAATCCTTCTGAAAAAGGCATCAACAACTACTTAGAGTAACTACTTTTATTGCCTTCTTATTT